AAGGTCGGCTGTGATTGCACTGGGTTGCAAGTCCAGTTGGACTGCTCTACAATAGTGTGTGGCACACATAATGGCGTGTGCATATCTCGGTTGCCCAGCTTTATCTGAGTCAGGTGTCCTGTCCTTGCAGGGTGGGTTTTGGGGGGGTAGCATATATATATATATATCCCTTGAAACCTTCCCCGGAACCCCCCCTATATTCTTCATTTGGGACGCCTGTCTTGTCCAGTCTCCGTGCCAGGCAGGACCATTAGAGACGCCGTTGCTGACATTGACCAAAGACTTCCTTCGCATCCAGGAGCAGATTTTTCACCGTGGGGTAATATAGGGTTATATTGGGGTTATATAGGGGTCATATATTGGGATAATGGAAAACAAAGTGGAAACTACTATTTAAGGTTTAGTGCTTCTCCGGGACTCAAGGGGATGTTGGGCAAGGTTGAAAGCTACAGTTTCGGGGAGTTACTGGCTGTAGCATTGTGATTTCATATAGACCAGTTCTTTCCAGGCCACAATAATAGTCGACAGAATATGGGGTATATGGGGATCTTGTTATAATGTACCCAAGCCCATATTCTATCTAATTAAGGGGGACCATAGGCCTATAGGCTTTAGATCTGGGAGCAATTTACTGGCAAAGTGCTGCTACAAGTAACTTGGCATACACTGATTTCGTGGCAGAGCACACGGCTTCTGCCAAGCCGGCAACTTTACGCTTCATTTTCCCAGAGCTAGTGGTCATAGGAGATATGGTTCAGCACAAAAGTCAGCCGTTGCAAAGCAGGACACCCCCCTCTACACTACCCACGCCGCACCTAAGTTTCTTCCTTCATGTGGCTAATTTAATTCACGCTGATTAAGGGGTCGTGTAAGGAGAAAGGGGGATAGTAAGGGGGGCGGGGTGGGCACGAGAACCCGGAGAACCCATGAATATCCATGAATATCTCATGTGGAACCTCCCAGCCTCTCCCACCACTTCCACAAATAGGATTCCGGGTAACGCCAAAGCCCAAGATTCGGACCCTACAGTACAGTCATTTGATAGCTATAAAGGAACTTCAGGCTCTGAACCCCGAACCCTAAACCCATAAACCCCAAACCTTAGTAGGACCCTATAGCGGGGAGCTTGGGGTTGCCGAAAGCCCGCTGTTGCAGCAATCTGAGCAATGTTTCGGGTACATGAAAATCACTGACCTTACTGGTCCTTAAGAAGGATGGGGAAGTGGATGCGTATGAGGGTCCAGGGTTTAGAGTTTAGGGTCTTGGGGTTTCCCCATCTCATCCGTATTTATGTATATATTAGAGTACTTATATTCACTCCCCCGGTGTTCCTGAAACACTAATACCCCTCAACCCGAGGCAAAATGGCAGTCTCTATGTTCCTTTCCATTCGCGGCTACATCGCCCCTTAAGCACCTTCGAGTCTTACTCAGGATCCGTCATATTCCCTATATACTGGACGTAAATACCCATATTTAACCTACCTGTAAGTCTTACCAAACCCCAAAATAAGCCAATATATAGCCCTTATATAACCCAGCGTACCCCTCATAGATCCCTGAACAGGGATCTTTAAGTCTTACCGAAGCAGTCCCCCGTTGAGGAGTTTTTTTTGGGGGGGATATTATGGTACCAAATGTAGACTAAGATTATATCCTCTTTCTGAGTACCGTATGTAGTATATATATATACATATGTATATATATATATAAAGATAGAATCTTACTTTGTTCAACCACCCAAAAAAGCGATACTCAGTGGTGCCAGGCCATCCCAGTGCATCCTACTCGGGTCGAGGTCCTGGTAGCTGGCGCAGCGGATGGGGAAAAGTTCGATTGCTGTGCTTGAGACCACAATCGCTTTCATCACATTGGAGTTGAGGTTGAGGGCTACAGGGCTTCAAGGTTTAGAGCCCAAGTGTGTGCATGGCGCGGTTGAGACAAGTGCAAGCAGCAACGCAAGGCACACCAGGGTCTCATGTTCCGCCTACTGCTTGGAGCTGCTGGTTTAGGGCTTAGGGTTTAGTTTAGGGTTCTGCATTGCTGTTCAGCTCATGGCTCAGACTTGTGCTGTTTGCGGTCTCCAATCAGGCGCCTTGAGGATGTCGGGCCCCGTGTTCCTCTTGCCACTCTGCAATCCTCTATGTCCGTCGTTACAAGATATTTTGTAATTTGAGACCAAAAAGTCATGACGTAGAAGCCCGTATCATTGAATTGTATCCCATTCAAGCACTTGCATGGGAAGGTCGAGGCAAGGCTTTCATTGCCCCCTGCTTTGAGGGGCCCGCGCTCTTAGTTTTGGGGTCACGCTTGAAAAGTAAGGGTTTCTTGGGTCCTTTAGATGCCCAAAATGTGAGACATGTAGTTATGATGTGGGGGTAGTACAATCATTGCATGGGAAACTTGCAGGGCAAGACTCCTTTTGAAGCTGGCCATGAACTTTTCAGAATGTACCAAACTCCGAGCTTGGATTTGTGATTGCCTCGCTGTGTCGTTGGTCCAAGCTGTAGTACCGGGGCACCGTTGAACATGACATTGAAGGCTAAATCAGAACTGCACACATTTTTGGAGACAGAGCAATAGAAATAACCGAAGACTCACCGAGAATGCATGCTTCGAGCGCTGATTTTTCATTAACTACACGGTGCTTAACATTAGTGTCCCTCAATTTAGCCACATGGCCGAGATACGTCAGAGCATGGTTTGTGCAAGCAAACTACACACGCATCAGCTTTACCCTAAACCGTGAAACCTAAACACCTAGGAGGGCCCATGTGAGCCATGTATGCTCCATCTCTGTCATGGAATCTCCGAACCAGGATTTGCGGGCGTGAGTAGTCGCCGAGCCCTGCTGGTAGTATTCAGGGATCCCTACATTTGTCTCATGGACAAGTCCCTGCATCCTACTAGTTCCAAGAGCATTGGCATTGGGGCTCTGCAGCCAGATTGTAGGGCTTTGAACTTAGGGTTCGGATTTCAGGTGGGGTGCTGGGTCTAGGGCTTCGGGTTCAGGGGCTTCAGTGCTTTTTCTGAATCCCTAAGGGTCCAAGTACGCAATAATCATATACTTGCCCAAAACCTATACCAGAATTACTATTACCCAAATCCCAAGTGCCTAAATATTGGGTACTTGGACCCTTAGGGAATGTTTTCTGAGACATCAGACTTCGAAACCTGTGATTGTGCCTTAGGATCAGCAGAGCTTGGGGCGGATGGTCAATATGAGCTGTTGTCTAATTTCCTTAAAGGGGGGTTATATAGGGGATTATTTAGGGTAATATAGGGTTATATAGGGTTTAGGGCTTAGGGTTTTGGGTTTAGGGTTCCAGGGTTTAGGGTATGTGAGCTGTAGTCTAAACTCCTTAAGGGGGGGTTAGATCAGGGATTATATAGGGGACTACTATAGGGGTCATTGAGGTGGATACTAGGATTCTAGACTATAACACCTATAATCCCCAATATAATCCCAATTTCCCTTTCATTTTCCATTTTCTTTTCCATTTGATTCTCCATTATTGGTGGATAAGGTAGGTACCCCTTCATATGTTGAGGATCCTGCATAGTTCTCACGCCTGCTCTTGCTGCAGGACAAGTTGCGCCTAGCTTTGTTATGACCTGCCTGCCTATGGTCCTTGGGTACGGCGATGCCATCCCGCCCGAAAGTACCCTATTTGGGAAACCACGGCGTGGAAGTGCGATTCCTTTTGCGTGATGTGTGGCGAATCCCGCGGACAAGCATGTGCCTGCGCAGCCAAGAGCCTCTGTCATGCATGCCGCGTTACATGTGCACATCCCGAATGGTACAGAACTCCAGCAGCCATTTGTCATCAACATGTTAGGCATCCACATCCGCAGATCCTATGCTGAGAGGGTTGTGAAGCAGGCAGTACTCATACTGTGCCCTGCTAGCTTTCAGAGACCACCCGAACACAGTTTGCACCCCGATCCCACTGGCACAGGAAAGCCTGAAGGTTTCGGCAATGGTGACCATCGCGGGCCCGTCTACTTCAATTTGTCAGCTTGAAAAGCTACTGCTAAAATGGTCCCATATTACATGTATGACATCGTATAGGGTACCTAAATAGATCTCAAAATAATGTTGGTAATAATTTAGGCCCCTATGGTAGGTGTTCAGAGGTCTGCTGTCCAGCCTTGGAGCGCATGCCGCACAAAGACAAATGCGGCACGTTTCCGCTGCCAACGCTTGGGTGGTTCCTTGGCATTTAGTGAGGCTGCATATTCCAGTATATGCTGCGCCGAAAGGCAACCGGTCACCACCCCGAGGAAACAAGTCGAAGGCTTCCATTGTGACTGAGGGATTGCGGCAGCTGCTGGTGGCCCGTGAAAGTTCATCTTGGAGTAGGGCTGAACCATAACAAGGCTTGATTTTTTAAAGGCAGCGCCAGCGCCTGAAAGCGCTTGAGGTAGGCTGTGGCTTCACCTTAGTGCTAATCCCTGCTCATAGGGATCCCTGCAAATTAGCACACCCATTTTGTTGCCCCAAATACTAGAGCCATTATTATAAGGAACCCCCCAAACCCTCAACCTAAATCCATACAAGGAACCTCCCAAAGCGAACCCTTAATCTCCTGAAACCCCACAAACCCATTCCAGCAACCCAGGCACCGTTTCAGGCAAGTTTGCCTAGACCTCAGTTTAGGGTGTAGGATGTAGGGTTTAGGGTCATCAGCCGTTTTCCTGGGAATCCTTTCTATATCCTCTGGTTAGAAGGGTATGAAGGAATGGAAAAGAAAATGGAAACTACTTTACAATGGGTTATGTAGGGATTAAGAAGGTGTATATTGGGGTTATCTTGGGATAATGGAAAATAATATGGAAACTACTTTACTATTGGGATTAAATGAAAGTTTCCCGAGATAAGGGTTACCTTTCTTGGGGTCCTTATAAGGGATTCTAGTATTTTGTGGTAAATTTTGGCGCCCCTTGGGGAAACTGCCATAAGGCTCTCAAGTCCTAGTGGCCCCCTCAAAAAGCCCTATAATTAGTGTCATCCCTTATGTAACCCCATTAAGGCGCATATGAGATGCTAAAACCTTATTTTGCTATTTATAAGCCAGGTTCATATCATGGGTTCCCACTGTTGTTTTTGCTGGCGCGCGAAAGATGCGCGAAAGTGCGGCGACAGGTCCGCCAGATGTCTTGCCATAGGGGTCATCTGAAAGGTCGTCTTGAATTGCTGAGATGAGCCTTACGAGGCTGCTTTGGCTATGTCTTCCCTAAGCACAGGGCCCCCAAACCCATGACATGTTCTTCTGAAGGAGTCCACATATGAATCATCTAGACGAAAATCACAACATGGCAACACGCAGATTTGCTTGGTGCGCGAAAGACCGCGAAAGCTCTGTACACGGCGCGGCGAAAGGTAGGTTTTCGGGAGAAGGAATTGAGCACAGCCCCCCATATTTGAGGACTATTAGAACTAAGGATCCAGTCCTTCATCCCTGCCAACCACGGCTAAGCTCTCTAAGGGTTGAATCTTCTCCCCGTACCATAAATCCTCCACCATCTAAAAATGAATGCGGTTTAGGGCTTACGATTCAGGGTTTAGGGTTTAGTCCCTAAACCCTAAGCCCTCAACATAGCATTATCATAGGATGGGTGGAAGACTTACTATGTCGGAGAGCTGAATTCTGAGAAGACCACGCTAAGCCCCTTCAAGCCCCTTGACCCTAAACCCTAAACCTATGCCAAATGCCCAGCTAGGCCAGGCGTATAAAACTGTTTTGGCAAGCAGGAAGGGGTGTACGGAATTTCAGGAGTGTAGGGGTTCCTTTTAGGGAACTTATAATAAGGATGCTAGTGTTTTGGGCTACAAAATGCAGGTTGAATCTCTGGGGCAAAGGGGTGTCCACCTTTGATGAGCTTGCATCCGCAATGCCATGGGCAAAGACCTCGGCAAGTCACAACATACTGGGAAGGAGCTTAAGAGAGGGACTTTTAGATCCAGAGTATATTGTAGGTGAGCCAAGAAGTTGTCCATTTCCTTGCATATGTGACAATTCAGGGACGCTAGTTTGATCAGCCCCGATTCTCATCAAGCACAGTATGTCTGTTGAAAGACGTGTGTCTTTGCAATGTGCATTGTCGTTGGGCTGTTTGTAACGTTGGACAACTTCCCTTGTGTATCAGACTTAGAACCAATGTGCGACTGCTTTTCTAAGAGGCGAATCAGCACAGCCTATTGCACAGCATGTGTATGGACCTGGAAGCAGCCTTGTCCTACCATGAAGTGTAACGATGTGCTGGATAATTGCGATGCGATGGCAGCAGCCTCAATCATAGTATTACTACACTACTGATAGCTACTACTTACTACTTACTATTACTATTACTACTACTACTACTACTGCTGCTACTACTATTACTACTAAATCATCTACTACTACTACTACTACTACTATTACTATTACTATTACTACTACTACTACTACCACCCGAGACCCTAAGCTTTTCACTATTAAGCATTGCTAATGAGGTGGTGCAACTGCTAAGGCCTTCCAATACCAGGACTGTGCCGCTGGAGCGGGTCAAACCTCTGTTTCGCAGGCCTCTGGCGTTTCGGAGGGCTATCCTGGAATATGCAAGGATAGGGGGGTTCCCAGAATTAATGTAGGGTTACCATTTTAGTATATTCGGGTCTATATTGGGGGTCCCCCTATGTTGGGAAACTACCATACAGGGCTATATAATGATCATAATGTGCAGACTCTTGCAAGTTGGTATTACGCGCAGGGGCGGATGGAGAATTCTGTCCGTCTCTAGTGCTATTATCTCGGCTGCCAGCAGCTGTGGGCGAAACTTGTCATTTCCAGAAGTTTGGGACCCCTG